GTAGTAGTGTTGTGAAAACTATATGTTTGAAAAATTGACAGGTGATTTTTTTTTGGCAAGAGTGATGAACAAGATGATAATGATGTGAGTAAAAATCAGTTGTTTTATAGCCCTTTTACTATTTATACGAAGACCATAGTGTGTGTCTTATTCGTGTTTACAATAATTCTATGCATAACTGTTATACCCATTTTGGGGGCAGAGAAACTGACACGTGGGGATATTAAGGGCCTGGATGGGACTCTTATAGGTTTTCTGACTCCCAAGTTGATTTGTTTTTCCTAATGGACTCCATCTGACCTCTAAGTCACAAAATAAACACCGTATTTTGTTCTATGTTAAGGTTCGGCCCACTTGCCCACATTATTTTCTTCTACATTTATCCAGCAGCATATTTTTAATTGGATATAGAGCATAGCTTTCTTTAACTTAAAATTATTAAACTTCAAATGTCTTTCAAAAAGTGCAGGCTTAATATCTTGCTGTCTATGAAAAGGTTGAGAAAAGACTTGAATATCTTCTACCACTTTGTGATTACAGGCCTTCAGGCAAGTTCCTTACCCTTTCTATATCAGTTTTCCCATATGTAAAATGGTAGAATTCCAACCTACAAGGTTATTGAGAAAAAAGGCAAACCAGTTAGATCACAGAACCTGGACAGAGCAAGCTCCCAGCTAAGTTTTCACTAGCTCCTATGTACTTATTTGTGGGTCAGTCTCTTGGCTGATAGATTGAATGAATTAGGGTTAATGGGCTAATTCAAATTTAGTAGTTTTCAGAAATTCTCCCTCTCATAAACAGAACTTTCTCTGACCAAATCTAACCACATAGAAGGTTGACTACAAATGTTACCTCTTTTTATTTGACAATGGAAAAGGAAAAGATGGGATGCAAATAGCCAGTTCGGAATGGAGTTCAGAGAGGGAAATCAAGCCTGAAAATAAGAGATACAAAACAAACAAAAAAAGAAAATGCAATCAAACAGTTCCAGAGACTTCGATATTTGGAATGATCACTTCAGTTGGAAATTCAAATGATCCGCTTAAAATAAATGAGATTGCTCCTTATCTGACCAAAAAATTCTCTCTCAAGGAGTTAAAGCAAAGAACTACAGGCCACAGGTGGCAGGACCAGAGCCTTCAGTAGAGAAAAGAAGCAGGAAGATCAGAGGACAAAGATTTTAAGAACATCCTACAATTTCTAAATATTTAAAACCTCTCCTGAGTGGGACGAATAAAGAAAGTAGCATCGACATAGATACACCATCATGTGTAAAATAGATTGCAGGTGGGAAGTTGCTATATAACACAGGGAGCCCAGCCTGGTGGTCTGTGATGACCTAGAGGGGGGGCCGGGAGGAGGGGATGGAGGCTCAGGAGGGAGGAGATCCAGTTCCAGTTCCAGTTCAGTCATACCCGACTCCGCGACCCCATGGACTGAAGCAAGCCAGGCCTCCCTGTCCGTCACCAACTCCCGGAGTTTACTCAAACTCATGCCCATTGAGTCGGTGATGCCATCCAACCGTCTCATCCTCTGTCGTCCCTTCTCTTCCTGCCTTCAATCATTCCCAGCATCAGGGTCTTTTCAAATGAGTCAGCTCTTTGCATCAGGTGGCCAAAGTATTGGAGTTACATCTTCAGCATCAGTCCTTGCAATGAATATTCAGGATTGATTTCCTTTAGGATGGACTGGTTGGTTCTCCGTGCTGTCCAAGGGACTCTCAAGAGTCTTCTCCAACACCACAGTTCAAAAGCATCAGTTCTTCAGTGCTCAGCTTTCTTTGTAGTCCAACTCTCACATCCATACATGACTACTGGAAAAACCAAAGCTTTGACTAGATGGACCTTTGTTGAACTATATATATATATATATATATATATAATTATGGCTGATTCAAGCTGTTATACGACAGAAACCAAAACAACATTTTAAAGCAATTCTCTTACAATTAAAAAATAAATGTAAAAATCTCTCTCTCCTATCTCATTCTCAGTGGTATTTTTTGTTATCCTTAGGTGGAAGAAAGTGATCTTAGGGGCAACTCTAGTATTCCTACAGCAATGACTTAGAACAATTTAATTGAGAGGTAATGAAACAGGAGTTCTATCTTTAAAAATTAACTTTTATTTTTGTCAAAGAAATGTAGGAACAGCCAACACTGTTCTGACTGAGACTCATTTGGAGTGTCAGAGGAAGGCTGATGGTGTGTGTGTGTGTGTGTGTGTGTGTGTGTGCGCGCGCATATGCAAGCACATGCACTCAGTCATATCTACTCTTTGAAACCCTCTGGACTGTAGCCTGGGGTTTCCCAGGGTGCTAATGGTAAAGAACCCACCTGCTGATGCAAGAGACATAGGAGGTGTGGGTTCGATCCCTGGGTTGGGAAGAGCCGCTGGAGAAGGGAATACCCACTCCAGTATTCTGACCTGGAGAATCCCCATGGATGGAGGAGCCAGGCAGGTTACAGTCCATAGGGTCACAAAGAGTTGGACACAACTGAAGCGACTTAGCACACAGCATGCAGACTGTAGCCTGCCAGGCTCCTCTGTCTGTGGAATTTTCGAGGCAACAATACTGGAGCAGGTTGCCATTTCCTCCTCCAGGGGATCTTCTTGACCCAGGGATCAAACCCTCATCTCTTGGGTCTCCTGCATCGGCAGGTGGATTCTTAACCATTGCACCACCTGGCTACAGCAGACCAAACCTGCTGCAGCCACTGCCTTCACCCCCAACTTCCATTCCTGCTCACCACTGCCATGGTCACTGGTTGTACTCAAAATAAGAAGAAAGGAACTATATGCTCCTCTGGTAGGGATGGGAGAGCCAGCAGAGAGCAGAAGCCTCGGGTGGAGTGGGAGGGGCAGTCTCTAAGACACCGGGTGCTGGGAGACCCTGCCGCCGGAGGGACAGGGGATGTGGGGAGGAAACGGGGAGAGTATACTGTGGTCCTGGGCTTGGCGTTGGGTAGACCCTGAGGTTCTTCAGCTGAGCTACAGAGGAGCAGTTGAGTAGCCTTCGTTTGCCTTTTCAATTTTTGCCAAAACCTCACGAAGGTCTTCTGTGGGTGTGTGAGGATGGCGGGAATTTGTGTGGTGAGTGGTGGGAAAATGTACTTAGAATTGGTGGGTGTTCGGTCATTTGGCTTCAGCATCAAAATTGGCAAATTCTATGAATATGTGCACTCTTGGATTTTTTTTTCCAATTTAGGAAGATTAGGATCCTAGAGTTTCAGATATGTTTGGCTTTTGAATGTCTGTTTCTGATTCATGAGAAATTCAAAATAACCAAGTAATTAAAAGTATAGGTTCTAGATCCAAATCATTATTCTACAACTTACTGGCTGTAAGACCTTAACCTAGTCTAGTCATCTATAAAATAGGGATACTAACGGTACTGTTGTGAGGAGTACTGTTGGCAGAATAAGGGCCCTCAAAAGATATCCATAACTTTGTCCCTGGCTGTGTCCTTTGTCCCGTGTGAATCTGTTACCTCACACAGAAAAAAGGACTTTCCAAAGTCTTTACTGTTATGGACATTGAGATAGGGAGATTCTGCTATGAAGATGGAGGAAGGGGCACAACTAATCAAGGGATGTTGTGGCCTCCAGAGCTGCGAATGGCCCTTTCTTTACAGCCAGCACAGACTCTGGTCCTTCAACCAGGAGGAACAAAATTCTATCAACTCAAAATTTCCCCTACATCCTCCAGAGAGGAACACAGCTTGCCAACACCTTAATTGTAGTCTGGTGATACTAGTATCAGACTTCTGACCTACAAGAACTTGCTCCTCTGTCCAAGAGATTCTCCAGGCAAGAATCCTGGAGTGGGTTGCCATTTCCTCCTCCAGGGGATCTTCCCGACCCAGGGATCGAACCTGCATCTGTCTCCTGCATTGGCAGGCGGGCTCTCTACCACCAGCACCACTTGGGAAGCCCCTTGTCTTATAGGAGAGGAGATTTAATGACTAACATGAGAATGCAGGACGGTGTATGACAGAGAGCAGGTGCTTACCAGTCCTTTAGGAGAAATCATCAGCCTGCCAAGTGCAGAGCTGAGCACGGTGGGAAGAGGTGGTCTCCAGCTAGTGGCTTCTGGGCCTCCTGCTTTGCTGCTCTCCTGCGTTCCGTGAGCTCCATGCCCAGCCCTCCTCGGCTGCATTTCTGGTTTGGTTCTCAAGTTCAAGTTTCTGGGTGCTACTTACAACTCTGCACATACATTTTCATGCTTCCATGTCAAGATGCAAAGTAAGTGACTCCATTTGTAGAGCAGTTCTCGGAGACAATTTAGTATCGTGTCCTGTGGGGGCTTCTTTAAACATATATGCCCCGATCCCATCACTTAGGGTTTTGTGTTAACTGAAAAATCTTTCATGCTTCCCAGTACACGTTGAGTCTGACACAAGGAACCCCTCTTATCTCCTATCTCAAAACCCTGCCTATTCGTATAAACAAGAACTCAGATTCCCTTGTAGCTCAGTAAAGAATCCACCTGCAATGCAGGAGACCCCTGGAGAAGACATAGGCTACCCAATTCAGTATTCTTGAGCTTCCGGGGTGACTCAGATGGTAAAGAATTCACCTGCAATGTGGGAGACCTGGGTCGGGAAGATCCCCTGGAGGAGGGCATGGCAACCCACTCCAGTATTCTTACCTGGAAAATCCCATGGACAGAGGAGCCTGAAAGGCTCTAGTCCATGGGGTTGCAGAGTTTGACACAACTGAAGTGACTTAGCACATACACATGTGGAAAAGGATGTTTGGTTCCTTCCCTAGACGGAGCTGTCCCAGACTTTTTGCCGCTTTGGCAGTATAGGAGAAATGAAAGACACCCACAATCCCATATGAATGAACCCTGCCAGGAACATAGGGGTATATGATAAATGAGTATCAAGTGGCAAGAACCAGCCCATGGAACCTGTCAGAAGCCCATGCTGCAGAATGATGGACGGTGGGTAACTGAAATTGCCTGGTGTTTCCCATCCCCGTGTTTCATTCCCCACAGGTCACTGGGACCTTGGTTTTGGCTGTCTTCACTGCTGTGCTAAGTTCCTTCCAGTTTGGATATGACATTGGAGTGATCAATGCACCTCAACAGGCAAGTGAAACATACAAGTTCTCTATTTGGCAATTTCTGTCAGTGGCAGAAAGATATCAGCTCCTCATCCAGAGAGATAAAGTGTGCCCACTCTATTTGGCAATTTCTGTCAGTGGCAGAAAGATATCAGCTCCTCATCCAGAGAGATAAAGTGTGCCCACATGGGGAACATGTGGTAATCCGGTCTTCTGTCAGGTACCACGTGCGTGGTTCCAATGCTGATAACTTGACCTTTACTCCTCATTTAATAACTCTCATAGAAAAAGAAAGACTAATAAATAATTCTTGATCTCTGATTCTGCTGTTTGCTGAGCTCACAGAAAACTTCAGCCAGAATATCACGTGCCAAAAGGATTAAAAAAAAAAAAAAACAAAAAAAAGGCTTAAGAGCTTATTGCAGCATACATTCAGAGCTCCTAACCAAAAATGGATGGAAACGCCAGGGTGTTAGAAGAAACAGTGGAAGTATAGGTTTTTTTTTTTCAGTGCAGAAACATGTACTGAGCACAAGCTCACTGTGTATCAGGCACAAACATAGGCTCTCCCCTGCTGATTCGTCCAACAACCTGGTAATGCCCATTTTTTTGTCCAGATCAAAGTATTTTGGAGCCTTGGGTGGGGAGGGGGTGGAATCGGATAAAGGTAGTTAAAAGGTACAAACTTTTAACTGTAAGATAAGTTAGTATTAGGGATGTGATCAGAGAAGGCAATGGCACCCCACTCCAGTACTCTTGCCTGGAAAATCCCATGGATGGAGGAGCCTGGTAGGCTGCAGACCATGGGGTCGCTAAGAGTCGGACACGACTGAGCGACTTCACTTTCACATTTCACTTTCATGCATTGGAGAAGGAAATGGCAACCCACTCCAGTGTTCTTACCTGGAGAATCCCAGGGACGGGGGGAGCCTGGTGGGCAGCCGTCTATGGGGTCGCATAGAGTCGGACATGACTGAAGTGACTTAGCAGCAGCAGCAGCAGCAGCAGGGATGTGATGTTCAACATGACAAATGTAACTAAATATAATACAGCTGTATCTTCTATATGAAAGTTGTTAAGAGGGTAAATCCTAAGAGTTCTCATCATAAGAAAAAAAAGAAAGACAAGCGAAGGAGAAAGCCTGAAGGAGCCTAACACTAGAAAGATTCTAGTCCTTCCCTCTACGTCAGTCTCCCATGTATGATCCAAAGTAAAATAATATAAACCTTTTAAATAAGTCAAGAAGTCCAACAAAGTTTGAGTTTTCTCCACATTGACTCTTTGGTTATTTTAATATTAGATAGTTTCTATCATTTTTCACTTTTACTGTGTGCACCCCTACTCTGGTTTCCAGGAAATACACAGGAGAGGGATGTCATTTGTCTCAGATCCCACAGCCTGTAAAGTGGGAGAAATCAGGACTTCATTCCCTCTGCCCTAACTCAGACCATCAGGTCATTTAGAGTGGGATTGATATTGTGTTCCTCTTCTTAACACCAGTGCCAAGCACAGTGATTGATATAAACATAAAGTATTTAGTGAATGGAGAGAGAGAGACAGAGAGAGAGGAGAAGCTGGGGGAAGGGGTGGCATAAGGTGACAATACAAGCTTCTATTGGGTGTTTTCAGTGAAGCCATCATATTTCGTCTGCTTCTCTGAACATAGTGGACTCTAAGGAAAATATAGGAGAGACTACAGGGTGTGAATGTGTGAAATGTGTACTTGCCAAGTCCGTCTGTTGGAAAGGGTTGTTCCTTGGACCAAAGATGCTCTCTGATTAGGCACCATATAGCATCATGAATGTGGGAGGTCTTGCCAAGGCTGAGAGATTTAGGGAATCACTCTAGAAGGTCGTATCTTTTTTCTGTGGCTGATAACATGTGCCAGTGTAGCAGGATTCCTGAAATTTGGCATTGGTAGAACCTTTTCTCTTCTTGTGGGAGAACTTTTCAAATCCTCATTTAAACCATCCATTTCAGTGTTGGACGTAAAAATTAATCTAAGGTTCCCCTCCTCTAATCCAAGTCCTAGAGCCAGACCTGACAACACAGGTCATCCCTCTCTGGCATCAGGATTAGTGCCCTCGCTATAGCCCCTTCCATCTGTATTTAAAGAGCTGTTTAAATACCATTATGTAAGAATTTGTTTTTTATTAGCAAAATGACATTTGGAATTATTTTATGGTATTTTTAAATCATACTTTTTTTTAAGTGATTTTATTTTATTTTTTTTTAAATTAATTAATTTATTTATTTATTTTTTATCACAACCATAGTGTATCTTTTTTTTTTTTTTTTTACATGTATTCCCCATCCCAGTCCCCCCTCCCACCTCCCTCTCCACCCAATCCCTCTGGGTCTTCCCAGTGCACCAGGCCCGAGCACTTGTCTCATGAACCCAACCTGGGCTGGTGAACTGTTTCACCCTAGATAAGATACGTGTTTCAATGCTGTTTTCTTGAAACATCCCACCCTCGCCTTCTCCCAGAGTCCACAAGTCTGTTCTATACATAGGAGTCTCTTTTTCTGTTTTGCACATAGGGTTATCGTTACCATCTTTCTAAATTCCATATATATGTGTTAGTATACTGTAATGGTCTTTATCTTTCTGGCTTACTTCATACTTTTTATGAGTGTGAAAACTATGCACACCTGTTGCAGAAAGTTTCAGAAAGAAAAACATTAATGATTATTCATGTAGAGCAAACTGCTGAAAACATCTGGGCTATTTCCTTTCAGCCTTTCTTCTGTGTATATTATCCATATAGAGTGACCTTCCCATGAGGCAAAGGTCTGGATCAGAGTTCTTTTATCATAAGAGAATGGAAGTTCTCTCCATCAGCTGACTTCACCACATAGGACTTTGCCCAGGTCTGGCAGCTAGGACAGCTGCATTCCAGGTCATTGTTAGAGGTGCTCCCAGCCCACTGCTACCAAGTGGTGACCAAATCATCTGGAGGAATGACATGGAAGAGGAGCTGGAAGGATGTGCCTTTCCTCAATTATACTTTTGTTTGAGTTTGCCTCTACTGAAACATGATAAAATATGGCTCTGTGAAATCTAGTTTTGAACACTCTTTATTCTGTTACCTATTGCACTCAGTGAGGACCCACACAAGACACTTCCTTTAGGTCCCAATACCTTCTCAGGAACTTCTGAGTTGGCTTTGATCTTCAGAATTCACCAATATACTTGATTGTTTTCCTCTCTTCTCACTGGCTGCTAGGAAACTTATTAATTAGTTTATAGCTCAGCTAAAGCAAGGATAGAGCACCTGGAGTTTGAATTTTGTATACTAACTTTATTTTTGCCCTCAACTTTCTCAAACTTTTTTCTTATATCCACTTTTTTGTCTCTGTTCAAACATTTACAGTAGCCAATTTAAATTCTGCTATGCAGGGGAAACAGCTGCAGCATGAAAATGTATCTTTTCAGCTTGCAGGATAGTTTCAATTTGGACAGATGCCAATCTTTAAAACTTGAAGAATTTTACATAAAAATACACATGTCTGGCTTCTCTTTAAAAATTAAAGGCCATGAAATGCCAGTCTCAAATTGCAGCTTCCTCCTTCAGATGGGACAAATAAATCCTGCCCACTCAGTATTATATTCTCAACAGTTGTTGTTTAGTCACTGAGTCATGTCAGACTCTTTGTGACTCCATGGTCTGTAGCCCACCAGGCTCCTCTGTCCATGGGATTTCCCAGGTAAGAATACTAGAGTGGGTTGCCATTCCCTTCTCCAGGGATCTTCCTGACTCAGGATTGAACCTATGCCTCCTACATTAGCAAGCGGATTCTTTACCACTGGAGCCCATATTCTCAATAGTATAGACTATATTTCAACCCTCAAGTTATCAAACTTCTTCTTGCCTCCTTTACTTGTTTGTTCCTGCCAGGTTCCCACTGGCGCTGGAATTTGTGACCTCTGTTTTATAGTATGTGGTCAACTGTAAGCCATCTGTATGCATTAGTATGTGCATAACACACATAATTGAAATAATCCTGCTTGAACACCTAACAAGTAGTTTCAAGGAAAAACAAACCAAAAATATACAGAATGTTTGAAATATTTCAGCTATTTTTCTTTATTTTATCTCCTTAGGTAATTATAACCCACTATAGACATGTTCTGGGTGTTTCACTGGATGACCGAAAAGCTATCAACAACTATGCTCTCAACAGTACAGAGGAAATGCCCATAAGCCTAGGAGATCCAACACCAGTCTCTTGGACTGAGGAAGAGACTATGACATCAGCTAGCCTCATCACCATGTTCTGGTCCCTGTCTGTGTCCAGCTTTGCCGTTGGTGGAATGATTGCATCGTTCTTTGGAGGGCTTCTTGGGGACAAGCTTGGAAGGTAGGCAAATTTCATAAATAAGCATACACACAGAAAAGTCACTATTTGGGGTTTCAGAATTTGTTTAGAAAGAAATCATCTTCCATTTTGTGGGAAAGTTTTAGAGTTTTTTTTTTTTTTTTTTTCAAATCATGACCTTATGAGTTAGGTTGGTATTGGGCCAAATAAGGGCTTCCCTGGTGTCCTGGATGGTAAAGAATCTGAATGCAATGCAGGAGATCCAGGTTCGATTCCTGGGTCAGGAAGGTCCCCTGGAAAAAGAAATAGCAACCCACTCCAGTATTCTTTCATGGAGAATTCCATGGACAGAGGAGCCTGGTAGGCTACACTTCATGGGGTCACAAAGAGTCGGAAACGACCAAGCGACTAACACTTTTACTTTCTGGACCAAATAATAGAAAAAGCTGTTGCAGTAAACTACTTAAGTGTGAAAATATTTATAGAAAAAGTGAATTTGGAGGGTATTTCTAGATAATCACTTTGATTCTCTGACTTTATAACTTATAAAACATATTAAGAAACCACAGCCCAAGTGGTTTACTCAGGAACTCAAGAGAAGAGTCAAGCATGGAATTTTTAAATCTATTGTTGCCTTCACCAATTGCTCCATTTCTCAGACACCCAGTTTTTCCTTTTCAGATTAGAATTTGACATCCTGATCAGTCAAGCCGCAAGGTTAAGTCAATATCACCAACTCCCAGTTGCCTAATGTACTTGATAGGGGGTTTCTAGTTGCTGCTACTGCTGTCTCAAAACCCAACCACAAACGAAGCAAGTGGTATCTCCATTCCTCAACTTTCTATTTTGGATTGAAACTTCCTGTTTTGGATTAAAAACATCAGTAGAACTCCTTTACATCCAAATTTCATTTAGTCATGTGAAATACTAAAGCTCTTGGCATTCCCTCCACCCCCATCAGCTCAGTCCAGTCGCTCAGTCATGTCCAACTGTTTGCAACTTCATGGACTGCAGCACACCAGGCTTTCCTGTCCATCACCAGTTCCCAGAGCTTGCTCAAATTCATGTCCATCGAGTTGGTGATACCATCCAGCCATTTCATCCTCTGTTGTCCACTTGTTCTCCTGCCTTCAATCTTTCCCAGCATCAGGGTCTTTTCCAATGAGTCTGTTCTTCACATCAGGTGACCAAAGTATTGGAGCTTCAACTTCAGTATCAGTCTTTCCAGTGAATATTCAGAACTGATTTCCTTTAGGATTGACTGGTTTGATTTCCTAGCAGTCCAGGGGACTTTCAAGAGTCTTCTCCAACACCACAGTGCAAAAGCATCAATTCTTGGGTGCTCAGCCTTCTTTATGGTCCAACTCTCACATCCATACATGACTACTGGAAAAATCATAGCTTTGACTATATGGACCTTTGTCGGTAAAGTAACATCTCTGCTTTTTAATATGCTGTCTAGGTTTGTCATAGCTTTTCTTCCAAGGAGCAAGCATCTTTTAATTTCATGGCTGTACTCACCATCTGCAGTTATTTGGAAGCCAAAGAAAATAAAGTCTGTCACTGTTTGCATTGTTTCCCCATCTACTTGCCATGAAATGATGGGACCCGATGCCATGATCTTAGTTTTTTTTGAATGCTGAGTTTTAAGCCAGCTTTTTCACTCTCCTCTTTCACTTTCATCAAGAGGCTCTTTAGTTCCTCTTTACTTTCTGCCATAAGGGTGTTATCTGCGTATCTGAAGTTACTGATAGAGAGGAAATAAAACAGAAAATCAAAGTTGTTTCTCTATATTTATTTTCTGGTCTTTGCATCCAGTTTTTTGTTTATCACTTCTTTCTGATGATAAAAATATGCAAATATGGAAAAATTAGAAAATGCAAAAATTTTAAAGATCTAAATGATATAGGCAACTACCTTAGTAATATGTGTGCTCTGTCGTGTCCAACTCTTCACGACCCTATGGCCTGTAGCCCACTAGGCTCCTCTGTCCATGGGATTCTCCAGGCAAGAATAGTGAAGTGGGTTGCCATGCCCTCCTCCCCGGGATTTTCCCAACCCAGGGATTGAACCTGCATCTCTTACATCTTCTTCATTGGCATACTGGGTTACAATTCATTTAATTATTAAAATTCCTTCTTTAAATTATAGTTTTCCCTCTTTGGTTATTAAATTCTGATAATTTCTTCCTTTTATACTGGAGCTTTTGATAAGACTGTAAGAATTTTTCTAAAGTAATAGGTAGCATGGAAACACAAGTTTTATTCTTGTTCTTATTTGAAAGGGACTTCCCTCTACCATAAAAGAAAATGGTCAGTTCTTCAAATGTTATCAAATTACTGGTGTTTAGCTGAGCTGTTGTTTCAAATAATTTTATTTATTTTTGGCTATGCTAGGTCTTCATTGTGCCAAGGGCTGTTCTTCTGTTGTGGTGAGCAGGGGCTATTCTATAGTTGCAGTATGCGGGCTTCTTATTGCTCCTCTTGTGGAGCATCAGCTCTAGGATGCGAGGGCTTCAGTAATTGCAGTGCATAGGCTCAAGAGTTGTGGCTCCCAGGGTCTAGAACACAGGATCAATAGCTGTGGCTCAGGTGCTTAGCTGTTCCCAGGCATATGGAATTCTCCCAGACCAGGGATCAAACCCATGTCTGCCGCACTGGCCAGCAGATTCTTTACCACTGAGCCACCAGGGAAGCCCCTTAGCTGAACTTTAAATCAGTATTCATAAATTATGCAGCTCATTGACTGGCTTTAGTTATTTTAAAATTTCTTAAATTATTTCAGTTTGAACCAAGGTTAAGCAGTAATTGGAAATTTTTCTAGATTGCTTATCTCTAAAATAAATAAAATTAAACAAAACTAAATTAAAATTTTAAACATGGACAGACCAATTCTTTTAGCAGTTATTGATGTTTTATACTTCTCATCACTGAAGAAAAAAATGTAAGCCCCTGTCCCTCATTTAGAGACAGGATTCTAACAATTCAGTGACTAAATCTACATTTAGTGTTCTGCTGATGAAAACAGAATGGACATCTTCTCAGGTCTTAGGATCTAGCATTGACAATGGTCATACCCCAAAACAATGTCAAATTATGATTTATCAAATTATTTATGGTGGGTTAAAAGCAAGGTTTCTTCTAGTTTTCAGTAGAAAAATGAAAAATGTCCACTTCCTTGAGAACAGCCCTAAAACTAATCATTTTAACTTCAAAATTAACACAGAACAGTTGAGTCTCAATAAAAAAACTATTTTGCTAGGAAAAGTCACTGAGAAATGACATGATTGTCCCTATCGCCAGGGTCATTGCTCCACTCGTTAAAAGTAAACAAATAAAAATGTACTATTCCATTACTGCTTTAAAAAAACCTTTGCTTATAATTGTGTTAATAGGTAACTGTGGCCACTATTTGGGTTCTCAAGGTCAAATTTTACTTAAAATTTAAGGACCAGGGTAAGGAGGGGGAGACCATGATCTGGGCAATCCCCGTTACCATGAGTGAAGGACAATATACATAGTTTGTTGCCTTTGAATGTGTTCTTCCCTTTGAACCAAAAATGGAACTGACCAAAATAAAGCATTAACCTTTGGTTTCACAGTGATCAAGTCCCAGCTCTGTAATTTAATGAGCAAGTTACCCCGGTTCTCTAAGACATTTCCTTCCATCTGCTATGTGGGGGGAAAAAACACCTCCTTTTGTGGCATTATTGTGAGGATTAAATGAAAATGAACATAAAAGGCTTAGTACACTGCCTGCCACAAAGTGAGCAGGCAGAAAATGTAGATGATGATAATGAAGAGGAAGAGACTTATGCTAACAGAAGCATTCAGAGCACGATTTAAAGAAATAGACATATATTTCTTTCTCCCTGATTCAACCATTTCGTGTATTTTTAGATTATTTATTCTTGGCTCTTTCTCACATCTGAGCAGAAGTTAAAATCCTTTAAGTTGTATAGAATGCTACAGCAACCACTGGTGGTAGGGAAGAGGGACTTTAGAGCAATCTGGCATCAAAAATACTTTCAGGCTATCTGTCTCTGGTATGACTTTTTCTATTTTGTCCCCTACTAGAATATATTATCAGCTAGCTAGTAACAATTTCCCAAGGTAAATTACTGAATTTGCCCACCCTCTGTCCTTGTGTAGAGAAAAAACTTCACAGAGAAACACCCCTATGTTTGTCTACTCTGCAGTTCTGAAGCTGGTCAGCTCTAAATCACTCTATCTACCTGCCTCTGGGTTGTTGATAATTTCCATATACTAGTTTCCCGATACTGTCCTAATGAATTATTACAAACGTAGTGGCTTAAAACCACACATGTTTGTTTCCTTACAGTTCTAGAGAACCAAATTCAGTTTCATTGGCAGAAGTCAAGGTGTCAGCAGGGCCTATTCCTTCTGGAGGTTCTAAGGAAGGGTCTGTTTCCTTACCCTTCCCCAGCTTCTGGTGGCCAGCTCTGTCCTTGTCTGTGGCCTCTTCCTCCATTTTCAAAGCACATCACTACAAACCTTATTTCTTTCATCTCATCACCTTCTCTTCTGCCTTCCTAATATAAGTACATCACTGGCCCAATTTTGAGATGAAGAGATTATCCAATTTAATCCTTAATCATATCTGCAAAATCCCCTTACCATATAAAGTGATATATTCCCAGGATCTGAAGATTAAGATGTTGACTATTTTGGGGTTTTATTCAGCTCATCACATCATGGTTTGTTGGGAAAATGAGTATGAGATTATATAGTTTTATTCTTCCAGAAAAAACAATCTGCTTGTTGTTTAAGATACTTGTTTAGGAAAAGCTCACCTAGTAAAGTCTGAAACAGAATATAACAAGATACTTACATTTCTTTGTGGGACAAACATTCACATTTATTCACTTAGATTCTTTTATTGGCTTTATCATCATTGATTGAAATTTGAAGAAGGTTTCTGTGTACATCACTTTCCCATTTAACAGGAAGAAGAGTGTCAGATACCTGCAAATGTTAATTTTTGTATGATCAATTTTGAAAATCGTGGGGTTTTTTTGCTATTATCATCTTTACTATGTATTTTGCATTGGTTGACATTGATTCATAGATTCTGGAAATATGCTGGCATATAATGATAAAATAAGAATAATTATAGTTCTCTGATAAGGCTTAAAGTAATCTACTTCCAAATAATTTATACTAAAGAAAACTTAAATTTTAAAGTTCTTTCATGATCTATAGCAGCTAAAATCTTGTACCATTAAAAGAAAAAAAAAAAGGGTCAGTGTCATAGGTTACAGATACAGAATTAAATTTAGCAATCACCAGGCATTTATTCTTCAAAACAGTCAGCATGTAAAAAACTAATTGTTAACTATTTGAAAAGGTCTCAGAAGTGTTATCTTAAAGCAAACTAGTCATCATCACAATTGAATCATCTCTATCAGAATGTGATTAGGTACATGCAATCCAAATTCTCTCATTATAAATATTATATATTGTTAATTCTTTAACACATAGACAAATCAAAGTAGCAATCATGGTTTAAGACTCCCCAACTAACTCTATCAACAAAATTAAAATAATCACTCTTTGGTAAAAATCTCAGCATGCTCTGAAAGCAAATCCTGTTTATCAAGTTTCGATGCTAAATTTATAATCCTTGCTTTTCAAATTTTCAGAATCAAAGCCCTGTTGGTAGCAAACATTCTTTCGTTAGTTGGAGCTCTCTTGATGGGGTTTTCGAAACTGGGACCATCTCACATTCTTATAATTTCAGGAAGAGGCATATCAGGACTCTACTGTGGTAAGTTGTGTACACACACACACGCACCCTTCCACACAAACACATATGTACATCTGAAAATTATTCTCAAGGTAGATGTGGTTACATGTAGGGAATTTTTTTAGCATAAGGTGGCATCACAAAAAGGAAAGGCAATAGCACAAGGTTTCAGTTCTGAGTGAGGGATGTTTGGGACCAGTAAGTGGAGCTGTAATGAGATGTTCTTATTCACAACAATGACATCATTTCTAGTCATATGCTCCAAGACAAATTAGTTAGCTCTTGATTTTCTTATCCATTAAATGAGAAGGATAATAATATCTACCTCGTGGGGACACTTGTGAGAATATGTGTAAAATGTTCAGCATAGAATCTGACTACAGCTAGCTGTTGTTATTATTCCTGTTGTTAAGTAGACACTGGAAGACTGCTATGCCCAGAACCCCTAACTCTTCCCTTCTGGCCTGCCTGGCTACTGATGTCTCTGTCTCTCCTATCTGGAAAGACCTTGATGTTCTGGCCCATCTCTCAGGCCACATTCCCTTACCCTATCTGCTTCCACACTTGGCTGGTCCAAGTGTTAAAATGAAGCTGGCCATAGGGAGAGGGGCTCAGGCAGAAGCAGCTGGTAGAGGAGTTCAGAATGGAGGAAAGATGCTTTTCCCGTCTAAATATCTGAATCACCATTTCTTGGAAGCAGCTCTTCAATCTTCCTGAAGCAACTTAGCAGCAGAGGACAGAAGAAAGGGAGGATGGTCCATTCTCTAAAATAGTCAAATCTTTTGCTCCTCAATCCCAGTAATACCCCTTGTCCTAAATTACAGCCACTAGTAATAACCATCATGGGTGAGAGAGGGAAGGTGAGGGCACAAAGTGCTGTATGAAATATTTTTAACACTTTTACCTGAAAAAGAGGAAAGACTACAATTCTGTGCATCTTCAATGATTGGTTGAACCAAAAGTCTGGTCTTCTGCATTGCAGGCAGATTCTTTACCAGCTGAGCTACCAGGGAAGCTCAAAATAAAAGTCTAATATTATTTAATTAAATGGCTCTTCTTGTTATTTTCAATGTTAATACAAATAACTGAAATGATAGCTTGGTCCAGGTAAAGAGGCAACTCACTTATGGGAAGATCTTTGGATTTAGAATGCATCAATTCTGGTACTGTCTCTGTCTGGCCTTAGTTATTGAATAGAAGCCTCGGTTTGCTCCTCGGTATTAGTTCCCCCTCGCTGCTCTAATGAATTACTTCAAACTTAGTGGCTTAAGACAACACAAATTTGTTTTCTTACAGTTTTGAAGACTCAAATTCAGTTTCACTTGACTGTAAAATGCAACTAATAATGCCATGAAAAAGGTCCAAATCAAGATTCTTCTTTATTTTCTATCTACTTTTTGAAATACAATAAGAAAAAAAATTATAAGATATAAAAAATTATTTAAAAATATAAAAAAATTATAAACTATTTTTAGTAAAATTGAAAATAAATGTTATAATTGAAAATAAATCAGTTCAGTTCAGTTCAGTAGCTCAGTCATGTCCGACTCTTTCCGACCCCATGAATTGCAGCATGCCAGGCCTCCCTGTCCATCACCAACTCGCGGAGTTGACCCAAATTCATGCCCATCGAGTCGGTGATGCCATCCAGCCATCTCATCCTCTGTCATCCCCTCCTCCTCCTGCCCCCAATCCCTCCCAGCATCAGGGTCTTGTCCAATGAGTCAACTCTTTGCATGAGGTGGCCAAAGTACTGGAGTTTCAGCTTCAGCATCAGTCCTTCCAATGAACACCCAGGACTGATCTCCTTCAGGATGGACTGGTTGGATCTCCTTGCAGTCCAAGGGACTCTCAAGAGTCTTCTCCAACACCACAGTTCAAAAGCATCAATTTTTCGGCACTCAGCTTTCTTCACAGTCCAACTCTCACATCCACACATGACCACTGGAAAAACCATAGCCTTGACTAGATGGACCTTTGTTGGCAAAGTAATGAAATAGTAGCAACCTATTACTAGCATAACTAAGTAACTTGTGTTCTCCAAGCACCTTCTAAAATTATATCTGATCCTATTATGAGCATTAAAATAGCTAAAAATTAATGAAAATAAATTAATAAAGATTAATAGAAAATACAATTTGGTTTCGGTTTCATAAGACTTTAGACCAGGTGGTCAAAATAGCTCAGTTGGAGAGAGCATTAGACTGAAGACTTCAGACCTGCAAGCTTATCTGCATTTTCTGTTCTTGAGGTATAATATTTGGCCTTAACAAAAATACTACAGCCCAGAATAGGACCAAACAATGTTTATTTATTTTTTCCCCCTGCTTCTTTAAAATCAACAGACCACACAGTAGAGTTGCATGTAAAAGCAGAAATTTAGATGCTGTATCAGCCATGCAAATGTTCATGGTCTATTGAGAACAATTTGAAGCATTAAAAAAATATTGAAACAATTCTCAAAAGCATCTTTTATACAAAGACCATACATTTCCATTTGATAGGCCTGCAGTATATCAAACAGGAAGCCTCTGACAAATCTTATTTTCAGAAAATGCCAAACATTGCATTCAGTTTTGCTCATTGACTAGTCTCTGACCTTTTAATGCTCTTAGCAAATGGCTAGATTCTCCACCATTTTCAACATGACTGGTTACATCTGCATCTAGGAAAACTACAGAAGGCATAAAGGCCTAGAGCTTTGCAAAATTTTGTTTTCTTTTAAGCATCAGAGGGCTTCCCAGGTGGCCCTAGAGGTAAAGAACCCACTTGCCAGTGCAGGAAACATAAGAAATGCAGGTTGATCCCTGGCTTGGGAAGATGCCCTGGAGGAAGACATGGCAACCCGCTCCAGTATTCTTGCCTGGAGAATCCCATGGACAGAGGAGCCTGGCAGCTACAATCCATAGGATCACAAAGAGTCAGACACAACTGAAGCGACTTAGCATGCACGCAAGAGTCAGAAGTCTTTATTCAAATAAAATCTTTTCTGAAGCCCATTATTTAGACAGAATAAAGAAGCTAGGTTGCTCTGGTTGGAGTAATTGGGGGAAGAGCCCCTGAGTCCCTTAACCCCTAACACCTCTCTACACACCCCGCCCCTCAACTCTTAAGTGTGACTTTGAGGCACCTCCACATTGTGGAAACTCAAGAAGGGCTTGTAGTTCTCCTGCTAACACTCTATTGCACTGTGATCATGGGTAAGTCATTTCTCACCTTTATCAAGTAAAGAGGTTGGCATAGATATGTTCTAATTTCCTTTAATCCCATGATTTTAGAGTAAGAATATTACTGCATTTTTAAGAATATTGTTAAAGCATTCTTCAGTCTCTTTTCTGAAGATAACCTAAGGCATTATGATACAAACTCAATATTAACATGAATTTTTTAACTAAATAAAGACAATGCTATGAATAATTGGCAGATGAATGACTAACCATCTCCTTCTATTTATATCTCCAACTACAATTTCATTTGGAGTCTCATCAACAAACATTCTTTGTATAAATTGTGTCTCCAGTTGGTGACAAGGGCTCTTCCTTCCAATTAACTCAGGAAGAATGCTGACTGTACTTAAACAAAGTTACTGCTGTTGATGTCATCCTGATTACACTTTAACATGTATGTTTATGTTTCACTCAGGGCTAATTTCAGGCTTGGTTCCAATGTATATTGGTGAAATTGCTCCAACCACACTCAGGGGTGCTATTGGTGCTCTTCATCAGCTGGCTGTTGTCACGGGCATCCTTATTAGTCAGGTATAAACTCCCATCCCCTCCCTCACCCATCCTCTACTTTACCCAACTTCTCTCTCCCTGACTGGCCACTCTTACTGTAGAACAGCACAGAGGAAAAGACAGTTCCACAAGTGGTCTTGGAGGTGGCAGTACAGAGACATAGGCTTTTTAGCTCAAAGTTAAAATATTACTAATCCACGCCTCACTTTTCCCCTGGAAGTTGTAGTGGAGTTGGCACTGAAGGTGACCTGGTAAGCCAAGTCTTTAACTACTAGAGCTATTCCAGAATTAAATTATTCCATTTCCATTTCAAGAGAAAAAAATTTCAAAATTTTGGCTGCCTGGGTTTCCTTTTTTCTGAGCATCTTTTCTGCTCAGATTTAAAATGCAAAGGATTTCAGTAGCGGTTCTTGTTCAGTTACCTGTATTCTTTCCTGCTCTCCTGTGTTCTCAGAGGGAGTCCTCAGAACCTCAAACTTATGACTATCCAGAGGATAAACTACTTCGAAATAGGGATCACAAAACTAGTTCTGTCAGAGTAACTGCTCTATCTATGTAACCCATTCTATTTAAGTTCTAGGTAATCGTCCAAAGTTATGCATGATTTTTGCTGTTGTTTTAGATATCAAATGTGTGCTTAAAAGTTTGGTTGATTTCTACCCTAAATGTCCCATAGGAGTTAATGAAAACAAATCTAGATGAATTCTTTGTAAAACAGAGTCCCTAATTCAGTTAAGGAGAGACATACTAGTAATAGTTGCCATCTTAAGCATACTTGTGCATACTTGAATCAAAGTTGTCAGGAATTACTATCAAATAGCCAATGTGCTTTTTCAACAAATTGTTTCAGAAGGCAGATCCGAAGTGACGTGTAGTTGCTATGCTTCCTCCCTGCCTTTTCAGATCGTTGGTCTTGACTTTATCCTGGGCAGTCACGAGCTATGGCACATCCTGCTTGGTTTGTCTGCTGTGCCAGCCATTCTCCAATGTCTGCTGCTCTTCTTCTGTCCAGAAAGTCCCAGATACCTTTACATCAAGCTGGATGAGGAAGCCAAAGCAAAGAAAAGTAAGTCTATGGTGGTTTTCCTTTCTTCCTATTGTTTTGGAATTATCAGTTAATGAGAAACAGTGCACATGAATGGATACTCATGAAATTGGTACAAATGCTTTTCAAATGAAGTCAGTGATTGTATGTAAGAATATGCACGATCACTTAATATGACTGGTACATGTCATTTTGCAACCATAAGCATTCACACAGCCCAAATAGAAAATCCACATGCAGTGTATTGAACTCAGAGACTTCTAACAGACCTTTCCTACATTATGCTTCTATGATAATGAGCAATAAGATGAAGCCAAATGTTTTGCTTTCATAAAAAATAAAAAGACAGGGTTTAACAAGAAAGGATTTCCAACACCCATTCTATTAGGTAATAGAATGGGCTATGCAGAACTGTAGTTCTTTCATTAGCATAACAATTGACCTGAGTTGTGTCAACCTGATCATTTTGGGGGACAGGCTTGAAAAGACTCAGAGGAAGTGATGATGTCACCAAAGACATCACTGAGATGAGAAAAGAGAGGGAAGAAGGATCAAATGAAAAGAAGGTCTCCATAATTCAGCTCTTCACCAGTTCCAGCTACCGACAGCCTATTCTAGTGGCACTGATGCTGCATGTGGCTCAGCAATTCTCTGGAATCAATGCGGTAAGTTTAAGAACACCCTCCCTCACTCTTAAGAGCAAAGTGAATTAAGACAGATGAGGACAGTTTAAGTTTAAAAACTAAAGGACATGTTAAAATGCTGACATCACAATTATCTTGAATGAGCATTAATTTTATCTTGCTTTGTCTGCTTTCTAAAATTACCTTACAGTTTTTAAAAGATGTCAGTGATCAGTGGTCTGCATGTCGATTAAGATGAAGATTAAAAGGCAAGTCATAATAAATACAGAAGAGGGCAAAGGAGAATAAATATACCAAGAAGACTGAATGACCAGGGGCTTCTAGAGTTGAGTATCAAATTTAGGATTTCAGAAGATCTAGGCAGAAGGACTCATGGTTCTTGCTATCTATTTAAATGAAGTATAGCAGATAGCCTGGTGCAAAGAAGTTTCCTGCCATCCAAGAAATTTTCACTGTTTGGGAAGATAGCACACAAAATAAACAATAGAAGGAACTGATATGATATTGGTGAGTGAGGGTAATAGAAAAGACATGACTGAAAAACATACTGAGTACTAAACTAGCTAGCTCTTAGGTTTTGAAATCTTTGTATTATAGACTAAAATTGTCTTACTGACAGTTAGCTACTAGAAGAAAAATATTAAGCATTGGTTAAGAAACTAGATTTTAAAAACCACTTATCCCCATTCAGTGCTGTTAAAAATGTGATTTGGGCTTCTACAGTGAGTCTACTCCAGATTCACAGACACTGTGGGGGTGACTGATGGATGGGAAGAGACCTAGAGGAAGCAAAGATAGTATTTCCCCTGAGGTGAAGCAAAAGGAGACCTGAGCCTCATTCCACATGGTGAATGCTCTGCTCTAGCCTCTATCCTCCTTTAAGGACGCTTGATGTTGATTTTTTAATCTCTTAATTCTTTATAACTTTGGGTCTCAGAGACCAAATCTTTCTGAGCTCTCTCTCAGCTCTGCTGTGTATCCAAGAGCACAACACTTAATCTCTCTGAGTGTCCCTTTTAGCTTCCATCCCAGTGCCTGGCTTAGAGGCATCCAGGAAATGTTGAACCAGAGGCTTATGGGTAGTACCGTGTATAGTGAGTAATCCATTCCTCACTGAACACAGTCTGAACAGTCCTCCTGCATCAGCCCTGTCTGCAGGACGAGGCTATAGGAAAGGAATGACAGAGGATGACACAACAAAAAAAATGACTGTTATACACATAAAGACATAACTAAATAATAAAGGCTATTAAAGAGGTTGTGAATCAGATTTCTCCATTTGTACTGACATGAGTGGAAAATTTTGGATTAAGTGCAATGAAAACCAAAATTCTTATACACATTGGTTCAGTTCAGTTCAAAGTTGCTCAGTCATGTCCGACTCTTTGCGACCCCACGGACTGCAGCACGCCAGGCCTCCCTGTCCATCACCAACTCCCGGAGCTTACTCAAACTCATGTCCATTGAGTTGGTGATGCCATCCAACCATCTCACCCTCTGTTTTCCCCTTCTCCTCCCTGCCTTCAATCTTTCCCAGCATCAGGATCTTTTCAAATGAGTCAGTTCTTCGCATCAGGTAGCCAAAGTATTGGAGTTTCATCTTCAGCATCAGTCCTTGCAATGAATATTCAGGACTTATTTCCTTTAGGATGGACTGGTTGGATCTCCTAGCAGTCCAAGAGATTCTCAAGAGTTTTCTCCAACACCACAGTTCAAAAGCATCAATTCTTCAGTGCTCAGTTTTCTTTGTAATCCAACTCTCACATCCATACATGTCTACCGGAAAAACCATAGCTTTGACTAGATAGACCTTTGTTGGCAAAGTAATGTCTCTGCTTTTTAATATGTCCAGGTTGGTCATAACTTTTCTTTCAAGGAGCAAGTATCTTTTAATTTCATGGCTACAGTTACCATCTGCAGTGATTTAGGAGCACAAAAAAATAGTCTGTCACTGTTTCCACTGTTTCCCCATCTATTTGCCATGAAGTGATGGGACCAGATGCCATAATCTTAGTTTTCTCAATGTTGAGCTTTAAGCCAACTTTTTCACTCTCCTCTTTCACTTTCATCAAGAGGCTCTTTAGTTCTTCTTCACTTTCTGCCATAAGGGTGGTGTCATCTGAGGTTATTGACATTTCCCCCAGCAATCTTGATTCCAGTTTGTGTTTCATCCAGTCCAGCATTTCTCATGATGTACTCTGCATATAAATTAAATAAGCAGGGTGACAATATACAGCCTTGATGTACTCCTTTCCCGATTTGAAACCAGTCGGTTGTTCCATGTCCAGTTCTAACTGTTTCTTCTTAACCTGCATAAAGATTTCTCAGGAGGCAGGTCAGGCGGTCTGATATTCCCATCTCTTTAAGAATTTTCCACAGTTTGTTGTGATGCACACAGTCAAAGGCTTTGGCATAGTCAATAAAGCAGAAGTAGATGTTTTTCTAGAACTCTGTTGTTTTTTTTATGATCCAATGGATGTTCGGCGATTTGAGCTCTGGTTCCTCTGCCTTTTCACTGGTAAGAGTGCAAATTGACACAACTTCTTTGGAAAACTATTGGATGGTATCAATCAAAGCTGAGAACACATATACACTATGATCCAACAATTATATTCCTAGGTGTAAATGTGTATGTATTTTACCAAAAGGCTTGACTAGAATAGAATGTTCATAGAAGCACTCTTCATAATCGCTCTTATGATAGTGATAGTGATAGAGAAGTCGCTCAGTCGTACCCGACTCTCTGCGACCCCATGGACTGTAGCCCACCAGGCTCCTCTGTCCATGGAATTCTCCAGGCAAGAGTACTGGAGTGGGCTGCCATTTCCTTCTCCAGAGGATCTTCCCCACCCAGGGATGATAACTACCTAAATAAACATCAATAGTAGAATGGGTGACTATATAGTAGAACGGGTAACTAAATTGTGCTATATTACTATAATGATATGCTAAATAGCAATGATAATAAACAGCCTGCAAATGCAACAGTGTGGATGATTCTCACAAAGGTAATGTTGATGCCAGGCATAAAATATACATCGAGCAGTTCCACTTATATCAAGTACAAGACTAGGCAAAATTTATCTACAATGGTTGAAGTTGAAAGAGTTTCCTTTGAAGAAAGGGTGACATTTAGGGGGCTTCTGGAAGGCAGGAAATGATTTGTTTTTTATCTAGATTATAGAGGTGTGTTTGGTTTGTGAAAATTAATTGAACTCTACACTTAAAGGATATGTGTACATTTTTGCATGTATTTTAACTTTAAGAAAAAGTTTTAAAACTGAAAAAAGTTAGATGCAGATGTAGAGTTTTCAGCTGAATATAAGGAGATTTTAAATGATTGGAAGTTTTACACACTAAAGGAAGATTGTGATTTCTCTTTTTCTGGAAGAAGAGGGATGATAAAACCTTTTGGGATCTCTCAGAACTCTGGTTCCATTGGAACACTCAAAAAATAAACAACCTAAAATAATTCTTGCATTAAACCCTTAGCACCAGGCTTCTTGATTAAAGCTAAACTATTCTTATCTTTCAGATATTTTACTACTCAACCAGCATTTTCCAGACAGCTGGAATCAGCCAACCTGTTTATGCAACCATTGGAGTTGGTGCTGTCAACACAGTTTTCACTGCTGTCTCTGTAAGTGAAATACTCTAGATAAATATTCTGCTTGCTCCTCAGTCCAGAAAAAAACGCTTGTAACATAAAAGCAACCTGTGATTTATTGTCCGCATGTACTGGATATGTAGATAGAACCATGTGAGTCACAGGAAGAGTCCTAGATGTGAATAACCAACCATTATAGCGAGATTATGCATAACGGAACACATGGATCAATGGTTCTCCCTATCTCCCAAAGATGTCATTTGTCACTCACTTGTGAATCAGGAACTCACTTGGGGACAAGACACTTGGTATTTTTGTGTAAATACCTAGGCTTTTTCTCCTTTGTTCTGTACTTAAGTCCCTTAATATTAGCAAATGTGTGTATGCATGCTCAGTCGTGTCTGACTCTTTGCAATCCCACAGACTGTAGCCCACTAGGCTCCTCTGGGACTTTTCAGGCAAGAATACTGGAGTGGGTTGCCATTTCCTTCTCCAGGGGAATCTTCCCGACCCAGGGTTTGAACCCTCTTGCATCTCCTGCATTGGCAGCAGATTCTTTACCACTGCACCACCTGGGAAAGAAAGTGTGAAAGTGTTAGTCTTCAGTCATGTCCGACTCTTTGCCACCCCAAGTACTGTAGCCTGCCAGGCTCCTCTGTCCATGGGATTCTCCAGTCAAGAATACTGGAGCAAATAGCCATTCCCTTCTCTGGGGGAACTTCCCGATCGGGGGCAGATTATTTACTGTCTGAGCCACCAGGGAAACGGAGAAGCACCACCTGGGAAGCCCCTGATGTTAGCAAACAGCTTGTGATTTCTATCGGTACTGCATCTTCCACCTCGATTCCTATCCTTCCATGGTTGAAATTTTTTATTCTGATATCTTAGGGGAAAAAAAATTTTTTTAAATAGACATTGTCCTCTTGATTAGATATCTAAGCCTCTAGCAAAATTAAACTGATTGAGCAGATTCATATGATGTTAGGCCACTGGGCAGAGCTTCCAGGCAGCTCTGAGGCTTCTCATGTAGCAAAGTTTGAAAAACATCTGCCTGCAGTGCAGGAGATCTGGGTTCAATTCCTGGATCGGGAAGTTCCCCTGGAGAAGGAAATGGCAACCCGCTCCAGTATTCTTGCCTGTAGAATTCCATGGATAGAAGAGCCTGGCAGGCTACAGTTCATGGGGTAACTTGTTTTTCATTCTCCACACATGGACTTTTAACTGTTACCTAAAGTGGTCAATAATTACAGCCTTGCTGCCTAGATCAAAAGGCAAGTTTGTCCAGACCACATTAAACAGAACTGGACCTTGGAAAGAGAAGGAAGAACAGATGATAAGGGAACACCAGTGCTTATGCCTTTAGAGTTAATGCTTGTTCAATCCAAAAGGCCACTCTAAAATCAATAAAGGATTGGTACTGGTATGAAATCCTAGCAACTATTTGCATTCCTTTGTCTCCTGAGATAATATTTTTGCAAATCCCACTTCAACCTATTTTTCTCATATAGAGATTGTGATTAAAATATTTTATGTGTAATGGGATTTGCTATGTGAAGAATCAAGTTATCAAGATCAGGGAATCCAAGGTCAAAGAATGCCTAAAAAAAAACTACTATAGAATTCCATTGTTGTTCACTCATTCAACCCTACCAACTCCATGGAGTGGGAGGAGTTGTTCTGAAAATAGTGTTCTGATTATTTTGAATATACCTTTTCAGGACTCATCCTTTTATTCTGTGAACATTTTTGCAGGTGTGACATAATTTTAAAAAATCAACTCTAATCAGCTATCTAATAAACCCTCCAGGACTACAAATAATATTTAACACTTTTAATTATATTTATTTTTGAAGTTTTAAAGTTCAAAGAAATACAAAAAGGATAACCTCTCAATCATCCAGATTCTCTTGCCAAAAATCAGCCAATGTTACTGAATTCCATGTATCCATTCAAATAACGATGTGCAAATAGGAATATGTACTGATAACATAGGAATGTTTCAACAATTTGGAGGGAGTATAATCCTTTTTTTTTTTTTTCTGAATGAGTATTGGGAGAGAGAGACTTTCTAAACTCGATGCTGAATGATGTTCCATATTCTGTTGTTTTTTTTTTACACTAATGATCCAATAGATGGAAACCTGTAATCTTGAGTGAGAAAACAAAACAGAAAGAAATATGAAGTGAACTGAAAGACAGCATGGGTCTAGAGGAGAAAGAGCGCCTCCAAGTAGGCATTGAGGATCTAAGTGCTGCATGCTGTCTGTGGGGAAAATGGAAGTTGAGATCAGGCATCCTGGTCTCTAAGCCCTGACCAAGTCTCACCCTGGATCAGGGCTCACCTGGCCCCAAGGGAATCTGACTCAATTTCCAAGGCATGTAGTTTTAGAATTTATAATCCTATCAGTAATACTTGTTCAGAAATAGAAGAAACAGACGTAGTGAAAGCCCTTTTTGCCGAAGAACTGCTCCAGTTTCCTTGGCGGCTTGACATGGTGTCATCAAATCAACTTTAAAAGTCATAACATAGAGATAGTCAAAATATAGAGAGGAATTTTATGAACTAGAGGAAGGTTTGTTTTTCCCACTTCATTCTCAACAGTTAAATAGGGGTTCCTTGCTTACCACTCTGGAGTGATCTGAAAGCCTGAGAAGAAAGGGGTTTTCACTGTAAGTGAAAAGAAATGTTTCTCAGATATTTTCAGAGCCAAAGCTCACTGCACTAAGAATATTGGATTGCTATTGATTTACTGATAGATTTATGAGAACAGCCAAGTGAGAAATTATGACAGGTAATTTTTGCGTGTGTGTGACTCACCAACTTTGGCAGCATTCCAAGAATCAAGCCAGAGTCTATTCAGCAAACTCTGGTCCTTGCTAATTGTAAATCTTAACCATTAGTGCAAAGATCCCGACCCAAGGAATTGATGCCGAGTCTCCTAAAATAGGATAAAAAAGCACTTTAACCTTTTGCTTTAAAGTCTTATCTTTCCAAGTGGATAGTTCATTACCAAGACCAAGTACTTTCAGGCTCACCAAACAAATTCCGACCTGACTCTTTGGTAAGATGATCAAATTCTCTCTCCCCTAAGTGGTCACAATTTGACTTTGTTTGCGGTAAGGAAGTTGGGTGACGATGGGTGACACATCAATAATTGTACCGTTTCAGGAGTCTGCAATGCTCAAACGCTTTTAATTATAACTTAGGATAGTTATCATAAGGGAAATCAATGTCATTTTTATGTAGACCCTTCATATTTTAAGGGTAGAGGAAATACTGGACATCCAAGATGTCCAGTCTCGAACAATTGCACCCAAAGTGATAAACATCAGGTGGTGATAATGCTATGGCTCTTTCTCTAGAATGACCTGTTCAAATCGACGTGACAAAAGGAAGACAGTATCTGTTCATCATCTCTGGTCACTGAGACTAGTTCTACCTTTCTGGGCAAGAGTCACTTCTCTCCTTAATTCCACATCTGCAAAATGGGATAATAGAATGGCTCCTTTTCAGCGGTATAAATTTAAAAGATCTCTTTGGCAGCAGAAACTATTTACGTGTAAAGCCAGAACGTTTTGACACTTCCCTAGGTGTTCCTGGTGGAGAAGGCAGGGCGACGCTCCCTGTTCCTAACTGGAATGAGTGGAATGTTTGTTTGCGCCGTCTTCATGTCGGTGGGACTGCTGCTCCTGGTGAGTCCCGTGCCTGCACTGAGATTTTTGTTTACCCGATGATAGCACTTCTGAGCCCCAAGTTAAACATCTGAGACGTACTTGATGAAATAAAGCAAGAGGAACAACATATAAAACAAGAGAGAAATGTAAAGAAAAAGAGAGCTAGCTTCAGGGTTTAAAGACTGAACATCAGCAAGTAAATGGTGCTTGTCACCCAGAGATGCAGGGTGTATAATAACCAGGTTTCAATCCTGACCCTGCCACTTGGCTGCTTGTGTGACCTTGAACAAGTACCTAGACCTTTCTACCACTTTACAAGGTGTCACGCATCCTGATACCGACCTTGCTATGGGTAGAAGCAGAGGTCACTGGATCCTTGCTTTGCTTCTTCCACAGGAAAAGAGTGACTAGGAGGCAGAGGATTTCTTATAGCTCAAAAGATTTAAGGATGACTCAGACTAGGGAAAAAAAAAAAAAACACCTTGTCTACGACTAGAATAACTTATACTTAATTGAACATAAGCACATCAGCAAGAGGTCTATTTCCCCTCTGAACTCAACAAGGACTAGCTAAAGGAAGAAGCAGTCAGTGATCCCAGTTCCACTTTTATTTTTCTTTTCTTCTCAGAATAAATTGCCTTGGATGAGTTACGTGAGCATGACAGCCATCTTCCTCTTCGTCTCCTTTTTTGAAATTGGGCCAGGCCCCATCCCCTGGTTCATTGTGGCGGAGTTTTTCAGTCAAGGACCACGCCCTGCTGCTTTAGCAATAGCTGCGTTCAGCAATTGGACAGGCAATTTCATTATAGCCCTGTGTTTCCAGTACATTGTGGTAAGCAGCCTAATTCTGTGCAAACTTACTGGACAGAAGATAAGGTTTAACAGCTGCTAATTGAAACTCTGTTTATTCTCTCTGCAGGACTTCTGTGGACCTTATGTGTTTTTCCTTTTTGCTGGTGTGGTCTTGGTCTTTGCTCTGTTTACATTTTTTAAAGTTCCAGAAACCAAAGGAAAATCCTTTGAGGAAATTGCGGCAGAGTTCCGAAAGAAGAGGGGTTCAGCTGCAACACCAAAACCTGCTGTAGAAATGGAATTCCTCGGACCTACAGAAACCATTTAACCTGCTTTTTGACATGAGCAATAACAGGAAGAAAGCAGTGTTTTTTCAATGACATTTTTTTGAGAATTTTATATCTGTATCTTGAAATGCTGTTATTTTTTATAGAGACTTTATAGGCTCTGATCAGAAGTATCATCAAATATTACAAAAAAGTATTTTTTCTTTTAACTTACAGACTCTATGTTGGGTGGTAAGACTGTAAGAAAACCAAAAAATCTAGCTCATTTTGTTACACTAACTGGTAAGTACATTTAGTACAAAAAAATTTTTTTTGTTACTTTGAAGACCAAATGGTTTCTGTGAAATTAAACACTAAAAAGCCTGGTCATTTAGCATGGGTTATCAGTTAAAACAACTATCACAAACTTGTGCTAATTCCTTGCTGGCTCAATCCCTTGAGCTATATTTTGTTTTGCTTTTTTATTGACCACAGTCTGGTTTTCTGAGTTGTGTTATAAAATACAGTCAAACAGTAATAAATCAAACATTTGTTTATCTCCTCAAACTTCAAATAAGATATAGCAGTCTAAAGTAGGAAATTGGAAGTAAAAGATTGCTCTGTTTGTTAAAAAATATTTTCTGAACTATTATGTTTTAAAATAGGTTGAAAAGGTAGGGTTGGAATATCCTGAGGGTGACCTCCTGAAAATTCAAAAACATTGAATTTCAGCCTTGATCAAAATCCTTATTTAATTTTCCTGGAAAGACTGAGTTCCCAAACACAAAGCAATCATTCTTTTTGGTGTTTCCTTTTCTGCCTTGGCAGTATATGGAGCTATCTAAGCTGTTCTGTTAGATTGCGAACATTTATTGTATACTACTTATGTGCCAAACACTAAGTGCTTTTACCTATGTAGACAAATTGGAAATATACAGATGATTAAACAGACTTTCACTTAGTCAATTTTGCAACTATGGAAATACAGTTCTGAAGGATACCAAAGGCTTAAATATCTCCAGGCTCTTTTCCTCACAAAGTAGAACACTGAATCAATCCTTTTTACATTGGCTTTAATGTATGGAAGAGAAAGGCGCTTTTTAAAAAGTTCTTTTTAAGATTGGAAAAAAAAATACTGAACACTTGAGGGGTTTTGTTTTTTTTTCTTTGACCAAAGTTGTTTACCTTTATGTAATTATGTAATTTGACATTCCAAGCAACATTATTTCTTCTCACTTTGATTTTTGTTTCTTCTTGGCCAATTTGGGATCAGCTATGTTCCCTTAGCTGTAACAGGACACAAAGTGAGCTTAAATAGTTTGGTAGACCTTTTTTTCTAAACTGTGAACTCAGTTTAAAAAAAAAAAAGGTAGGGACTTGGAGTCCTCATCCCAGGAAAATGCCTCATCCCGTGGCTCCTTTCTTCTTCAGGATGCTGGTGGCCTTTGAGAAGCCCAAAGTTGCACCAGTAAAGAAATTTAACATATGTATAGGTGATTGATGTGATTTATTCAAATCACTATTCCTGATCTCATGTAGAATAAAGTAGTAAGTGTTTAGGACTTCCCTGATGATTCAGTGGTAAAGAATCTGCCTGCCAATGCAGGAGATGCTGGTTTAATCCCTGAGTCAGGAAGATCCCCTAGAGAAAGAGATAGCTACCCCTCCAGTATTCTTGCCTAGAGAACCCCATGGACAGAGGAGCCTGGTTGGCTATAGTCCGTGGGGTCGCAAAGAGTCAGACATGACTTAGTGACTGAAAAATTAGAGTTTAAATAAAGAACCCACAAGACCCCTTTTAAGTTTTGATTAATTTTTCTGACTGACCACAAATACTCAAAATTCAGACCCTGAAGTTTTCTGCCTCAGAGAAATATAAATAGCATATATTGTTTCCCTTTCATAATTTTTTCCTTGCAAAGATACAAATGAGTTGAAAACAAACATTCAGATGAAACAAGCGGTTAAAGCTTCATACTAAAACAAAGGAACTAGCTTAACATAATAAAAACTCCTAGGTTCTCAGCAATATTCATCATAATATATAATAAAATTGGCACTAATTAATTAGATTTAATCCCAGGGAAATTAGATGTGAGTTTGAATGCTTAATTTTCATAGTACACTATCATTTTTGTGGAGTCATTTTCATAGCCGAACATCTTTACAAATATGATCTTCTCTTAACTTGCTCGGAGCATGATCCGGTCGTTCATCTGCTACATCTAGTATTGTCCACTGTCCTGACACCAAGGCAGGGATCACCTCTCAGTTCCTCTTCCCCACTCCCTTCTACAGGATTAGCACTGTCATGCTCGCTGAGACACAGTAAGAGAATGCCTCGCCTCAAGGAGCTCAGTCTATTGAGGAGTTCAGGAAAATCATCTGCATTTCTTGCCTTCTATCGCCTCAATGTAAAGGACTTTGTAAATAAAATGCACTCAATAATATACCTACCTCAGAGAGCTGTGAGGATTAAACATAAAGTGCTAAGCAGAGTGCCTGGTACAAAGAGGGCACTCAATAAATGTTACCTAAAGTTAGTATTCATGACAATACTGTTAGGACGCAGAACTATCATATATGAGATAGTTCCAATATTTTTCTTTTGAATAAAAAAATTTTTATAAATGCAATATTTTCTTACTTCCAGCAACAATCCCACAATGACAAAAGAATTGTAAGAATTAGGAGGAATATTAGGCTGTCTAATACTTAAACACATACTTGATATTTCTAAGTAGGGTGTAAGAGTTTTTCTTGTATTTTTTAAATTTGCTTTTGCCTAAGTTATTTTTAAGAGGTCTATATGTAGTATTATTTCTTTGGATAATGCTAAGTACAAAGTAAAATGCTAAGTATCATATATAAATTTAACAACAGGATTAAATCACAGGACAAGGCCAAGTCTACTTGATAAGATGCAAAAACTGCAAAAATGAGAGCTTCTCTGGTGGTCCAGGGGCTGACTCCGTGCTCCCAATGCAGGGGCCTGGGTTCCATCCCTAGGAATGAGGGAACTAGATCCCACATGCCGAAACTAAAAGATTCTGTGTCCCGCAACGAAGATCAAAGATCTTGTGTGCTATAGCGAAGATCTGGCACAGTCAAATAAATATGGAAATAAAATTAAAAACATTTAAAATATTAGATTACCTAAAAAGGTGTAAAAATAATTACTAAAGTGTATTAACTAGTGTACATAGATATTTGTTGCTAGCTTATTATTGTATACATAGCAAACAAAGCAATGTTGGGTGGTATCTTGTGCTTATAGTGTCCTAAGGAAAGGTGTTTAGTAAAGTGTGAAAAAATATAATTTTTCATTACAATTGTATATTAGTGATCTGAGAAGAAAGGGTTTACTGCCGATCACTCTTGAGCCATCTGCTGGTGTTTTTACTGCTTTCTAGTTGGGTGCACATTAGAAAGAATCATCATGAAAATCCACTGGTTTTAGTTATGAGTGTATATACACTGCAGTTTGATGTCAATAAATATATTTCCAATTGTTGTGTTACTTTATTTTATGTAGAAAATAACCACATTTAAGAAAATTGGTATTGGTTTACTGTATATAATCATTTCCTTCTCACAGTATCTTTCCTGTTCTCATTTTAAAGATAATATGTGAGTTGTGTTTTAAATCCAAATTTTATTTCCATCAAGCAGTTGTTTTGATTATCAGTTTAGTAGGAAAAACTAACCGGTAGGCTAGGTGAGAACAGTTGAAGAGGAATGAAGGACTCCCTTTGATGAAAATAGAAATGCTTTAATTCAGTAAATATTTAATTGAGCTACTATTATGAACACAACACTTTATGAAAGTTTTGTAAAAGATACAAAGCTTAGAAAACATGGTCCCTATCTTCAATCACCTGCATTCTCATAATGAGACTAAACTTTAAAAACAAATAGTTATGTTACAAGGGACAGAATAGGAAAAACTGTAAGTTCGTGGTTTTAAAATTTTTTAGTTGGCATCTAAAATTTTTTGTCATACACTTAAATAACTGCAAAGGATATAACTTTTTAAACTATATATACATTTAAAAATTGCTATGCTCTATTTATCCAATAGCATTTAATTACCATAGTAATTTGTTACTCACCATAACCGTTTTTGATGAAATTATTCATTTTCTTATTTCTAAATTTTCACCATGAAATTTAAGAACACTAGCAAATAAACAGTACATATAAAAGCATCTAGAAAGTAAAGACAGGTCACATACAAAGAAACAGGATTCATAAAAGCATGTCATATCTGAATAGCAGCTGTGAAAGCTGAAAGGCTGTGGAACAACACCTACAAAATTCTAAGGGAAAATGATTTTCATCCTAGAATTCTGTTCCCAGATGTACCATCATTTGAGCATAAAAGTAGAATTAAGTATATTTCCAGACATGCAAGACTCAAAAATTTACCTATTCTGTACCTTCTCTCCTGAAGCAAGAGGAACGTGTACTCTGCCAAAAAGAGAGAGAAAGAGAGGAAAAACTGAGAGCAAAAGACGGAATTCAGCAAAAGGGGAGAATGAAAGTTAAGTCTCAGGGCATGAGTCATAGGTGACGGCAAGCACCAGGGCCTAGGAAACAACCAGTTCAGACTGAAGCAAGAAAAAGAAGGTTCTGGGGGAAAACAGAACTAAAATATTCTCTGATGTGTTTGGCCATATGAGGAATAATTTGGAACCTTTAGGAAAAAAGAATAGTGCCAAACACATAGGAAACTAAACAAATGCAAATTCAAGGCGGTTATGAATTCCTGGGGAGATAGTGGGGGCAGGGAGCAACATAGAAAAGAAATGTCCTGGTGCACTACTTAACTCAATGGTGAACAAGTATTTACACAATTCTGTAAAACACTGGATATTGTTACAATTCTCATTTTCAAATAAAACTTATAATAGTACTGTATTATGAGATATGTGGGAAAGAAAGGTGAGGAATTGTGAGGAAAAGCTCAATGATAATTAACACAGTAGGTTGTTGACACATAGCCACCAAAATCTATAAAGCAAAAAATATCCATATGAGGCTATGTGCTGTTTACCTGCTG